TTGCTATTGCTATTGTTAATATTGTCATGGCGTTGGCACCAAGCTTGATCTCAAGCCGGTGTTATATATATATATATATATATATATATATATATATGTACTAGAAGTTAGTATGGAATGACGTGATCGAACGATTTTTTCCTTTGGTTTCGCCGAAATTTTCATTGTGATCGTAACCGAACCGAAGAAATTATTTTCATGAACATTCAATTGTGGTAATTCAACCGACGGACATAAAGCAAACAAACGAAGACTTGAATTGTTCTATCACTTTTCTCACGGTTAAATCACTCATGGGTGATCAACTGTAGTCCGTCAATTCAGTTTTTCCAGTCTAAGAATCAGAGCGTCGAAAGCCTGTTCCATCTGCTTTTATGTTATATTAAAGAATTCAATAGTATCAACTGCTCGGTATAACAATCACGTGGTGTGACGTGTGACCTAACACGCTGAGCGGAGTGTGTTTCACATCGACTTTAGGACTAGTATGACGCCAACGCAAAAACGATAATGATAATATTGGTAACAATGGGTACAGATTGATAAAATGAAAATGGTGAATACAGATAACAGAAATAACAATTGAAGGAATGCGTCAGTTTTTGACAGTTTTTAATTTTTGTTGTCTCTTTCATAGGGATAATGGAGAACGGGGTATTGAGAAACGAACCACCACTACTCTGAGTAATATCTCTCAGCGGCTCAAATCATCAGCAATCCTCATCCATTGACACCCAACCTGGAAGGCGAGCTGCATCAACCGAAGCCAATGCTAAGGCTAAATTCATACCTCTACGTCAGGCCATAGTTTGATCGCCGTGACACTTCGTTCAGCTTTGCCTAGCGTGTTCAAAGAGCCCGGAGAGGAAGACGATGAGCAGGCATAAGCAAAACATGACCGAGCCATCGGAGAAGGTGTCAAGCGATTACTTCTTTTAGAGGACGACTATCCTAACCCAGCACAAGACGACGACGAACCTCGTCATTGCCCACCCGATGTTCTCACCAGACACGATCAGTTTCGAACTCATCGGTGGTCCACTACAACAGGTTGATTAGCATCTTCCGCTTGAAGAGGCCAGATCTTGCAACCAGAATTCTACGAACCGAGGCGATGTATACCCTTCTCTTCAGAGACAGTCGGATATCAAGGTGGCATCACAGGTCTCACAGGTTGGGAGAAGATACCTTGGCTTTCACTATTGGTGATGTGACCCGAGGCTCCCGAGGCACTTGAAGCTCTCTACTACTTCTATCTGATCACCACAAAGGGTGAGTGCAGACTGTCTTGTGCAAAGTACATACCACATCTGAATGGCTCTATCATCAAACGGTTTAAATTACGTTAGACTGCCTGAGAATTGTCGCCCGACAAGGCGATGTCATCGGATGTCAAGGATTGTGTTCTGTGGGAGGAGCTCCATTCCACCATTGAGAAGGTATACAAACTGCGTTACCGATCACTCTTTTATGGAGACAACAGAAATGACTGCGTCTGATGTACGAAGCAATGCGTTATGGTGAGTGGTCAGGAAGTGTTTTCGCTAAGCCGCTGGCAACAGTCGGACTGTCAGTTAAACACGATAAAAAATGTGAAAAATGTTTGAACACAAAGTTGGCAACCTAGCTCGTCTTCAATACATCTTAATCGTATCGTTACAACACACCATATATGTTACAACTAGGGATTAACGTGAAAAGGGAAAGTTTGCCTCATAACTGGTGCCCACTTCGAATGTGAGAGACTTGAATTCGTTAGGTTGTCACGTGACGTGTCGTTTGTCGGCAATCCGGTCATGAATGCTTGCACAAATTGCTTCTGAGCACACTAATGGAGTTGTGTAGACGGATGCTGACTGCTTCCATGGTGGCTGGAATACGAAAACGCATGAGTCTAGGTGGGCTTGTTCTAACCGGTGCACAGAGGTCGAAACGCTTCGGTCACATTTACGGTGTGATTAGTGGTATGACACAACCGCACTTGTGATTGATCTACTGAAAAACCGATCGTCGTTTTGCGATTGTGCAGATGATGGGCACAACTGACACTCGTTAACCCATCGAATTATGACACGAATATTACCTATAACCCAAAGGGTTATAATCGACACATTTTTTGGTGAAAAAATAAACATTCCATTGGACCCCACTCATTATACTATACGAGGTAGGAAACATGACTGACGACTGTTCAACGCCCATCTATCAACCGTGTTAACTGAGGAGGAGGAAAAATCATGACAAAACATTTTGATAAAAATTGTGATGTAATAGCCTGTAGAAGAATCACCACAAACAAGCCTGTTGACCGTTGTGTTTTTCTTACAACGTGCAATATTTGGACAATCGAAACATATTGTAACGAGAAGGCGAGCTGGCTGGGAAAACGTCAATTTATCCAATTCCAAAAACAAACAGTATATGCGTTCGATTATATACAGTCAATTCTCAACCGCGCGGCGGGATGATTCATGCCTCTTTCAGTGGGTCAGTCCTTGTTGATTTTGGTCCGCACTTGGCGTGTACGTTGCCTCTTCTTCAGAGTGCCATTCCGACTGGTTTGACCCGATCGCGGCGCGAGATGAGTTGATCGACAGCTCCCACGTTGTGGCATTCGGTGGGTATCTTTCCCGTTAGCTTCTGATTTTCTTTTGGGCTGTCACTGTCGATTCGCTCGTTTCGGGTGGCAGCCAACATTGTCTCGCGAGGCACTTCCCGCCGCTGCGTCTGCGCGTCGGGTCGGATGAGCCCCATTCTTGCTTCGGTCGCTAACCAGGACTCTCTTTGAACTGCTTTCCATCACAGTCGCCCCTCCGCTCAAATGATTGCCGCGGGAGTACCACCGCTCTCATTCTTTACCATTTACCCACCTTCCTTGAGGACCCTGATTGATCCGAAAACTGTCGTTCTTCCTCTCCAGAACGGTGAATGGCCGCATCCACTGCTGCTTGAACTTTCCGGCCCCCGGTTCTGTTGTTTCGGGTCTGCCTTGGTTCTTAACTTTTACCAGCTGTCCCAGTACGAACGGCTGCCACTTTTGTGATCGGTGTTCTTTGTAGTATCTTGCCTTGTTGCGCTGCTGGGTTTGCCTGGTTTTCTCAACCGCTTCTCTCACCAGCTTGTCTCGCTCCTTCGTGGAAAGCTGTTCGCCGGATCTTCCGAGTAACGCATCAAGAGGCGTTCTGGGTTCTCTACTGTATATGATTTCGAAGGGTGGTATCACTGTTGTCGAATGAGATGTTGCTCTGTAGTTGAAAAGGATTTCCGATAGGCTTCCTTCCCAATCACCGCGATGGTCATTGAGCCATTCCTTCAATGTTCTATTGAACCGTTCAGTCATTCCGTTGGCCTGTGGATGATAGGGGGACGTTCTTGTTCGTTTGATGCCCCAGTGCCCTAAGGTATCCCGAAAAAGCTTGGATTCGAAACACGGTCCCTGGTCAGTAATGACATTTTCCAGGATACCGAATCGTGCAATCACGTTGTCTATAAATATCCGAGCAACCGATTCTCGGGACGAAAGCCGTAATTTTCTTGCTGTTCTTAAGAAGTTGCGCCCTTACGCACTTCCGGACAGTGGAGTTCGATTGTTTAGCCTACACACCAATCTTTTCTAGCACTATTCGTTTAGCGTGAGAAATACCTCCGAACGGGTTAGCTTTCCATCGCGTTCCGATATGGGCCTCTTTGTACTGCTTATCATACCACCGTTGCGACCGGCGATGTGTTGCCAACTTTCGTGCCGTCTTCAGACCAGCCGGCTTTCCCGGCGGATTATCTTTCGGGCTGTCACTGTCGATTCGCTCGTTTCGGGTGGCAGTCAACATTGTCTCGCGAGGCACTTCCCACCGCTGCGTCTGCGCTTCGGGTCGGATGAGCCCCATTCTTGCTTCGGTCGCTAACCAGGACTCTCGTTGAACAGCCTTCTATCACAATATGAATGGTTCAGTTTTAGTTTGTACAACCATTAACCATGCACTATTGTGCGCCAGTTTCGGTTGCTGTCCTTTGACTGCCCATTTGGATAAACATTAGGTTAAAAACAGGAAACGTTGAAAGTAGGATAAGAGAGAAATTTTAGAAAATTGGTTCTCGTCGTTCGGATGGACTGAATTCTATCTGGCCTGGCTTGGCAATTTGCTTACAAACGTTTCTACACCAGCCGAGGTGACATCATCAGTGCTTATGAATTAGGATTACACTGCAACGGATCAGATAAGAAATACATGGAGAATACAGTGTGAACGACTGGTATTAGATAAACACCAATCCAAGACGGAATCTGTGGGATCCCCGCTCAGTTCTCCTGGATCCGACTGACAAAAAACACAATTACGTAGCTCGTTGGAAATTCACTTAAACAATGTTATTTCACACGGATAGTTTTGAACTTTATCAGATAATTTAACAGTCTGTTGAACAGTGCTTATATCTCGTCTTGGTGATCAAGAAGATATTGCGTATGCTTTTATAGGCCTTTCCTTCTGGCATTCTGGTTTACTATAGTGCGATCAACGAAAAGTTCCATGTGTCTAATGAAACGTGATAAAGCAGTCTCAATAATTAGAGTTGCTGCAAAAAATAGCACAACATATGTGATGCCCATTCATCAGGTTGGCCTCAACCCCCGGGAAATCAAAGAAGAATAATTCATGTCGGTTGTTAGGTCAACACCACACGGGCCAGAGATGAATTGGGGAAAGGGGGGGGGGGGTTCGGCATGACATAACTTGTTGATCATTGCAGTAATTGACCGGTATTTACCACAATTTATCCGGACAAGGGTGAATCACGAGAAGACAGCATGAACATGGAACTACAAGCCATCAGTCCGTATATCCCCGTTCATTTCAACGACAAGGTGGTTCATGTGCATCTGTGTAACTTCGGTGAAGCCACAAGCGCTCAGCGGGACACTGAATTACGATTTCATCCATTCAATGGATCCCACCGGGTCAGTGTTCATGTAAACCGTGGGGACAGGATTAGCTTCCGGTCAATCTGTCAGGAGATTGTGTATTGTACATGCGTTCTCAGGAGGACAGAGTGAAAAAAAACGCGTGTTCAGGGGTTTCGATACAGTAGCACATCTCATCCGGGGAGATTGACAGGCATACAGTCACAACTCCTGGTTAGCCACAACGACTTATATGATAGGGTTGAGACGATCAATAACACATGGAAATCCCTTGGTAATCCGACGTCCATGAACAAGAATTAGGGGTAAGAAAGAGTCGAATGACTGCTCCATATATCCAATTATAAATTTCTTTACCTTCAAATTAAGCTGTGAAAGCTTATCTAAACGCACAAGCTTCAGAAAACCCTTAAGGAACTGAAAGGAGATTTTAATTTCATGGTATCCAGTGCAAATGATCGATTGTCAGACAAGTAACCTGAAAATGACCGAGCAGTGGCATATGTCAAAATTTTGCGGAGCTGTGAAGGAACACACAACAGTATAGTAGTCCGTTGTAGTTCTCATGTGTTCTGGTGCTAAGGATCGTTGGGGAGTACCTCATGCTAGAACTACGCTTCGGTCACCAAGTGAGGTGAGCTACATAATTTATAACATCACTTTCTATTGAATTTATTAAGGGAAAATAATTAGGTAGCGTATAATCGGAACCGAACTCCCTAGTTAACATAACCGCTATGCCAGATTGGATAGTACATAGACACAACCAATTAACACTATCAAAGACACTTACCTCGGAATTAGGTGAAGAACCCGAGCACAACTGTATTCGTTGCTCTTCTGGTGTCTGACTGGATGAGGTCCGACTACTGGTCATCGTTCCGGCAATGGATTCGGCTCCACTTGGACCAACAGAGGGTAGCGGAGGCAACGGTTGGGCCAAAAGCCGTCGACTCGGAGGTGGAATGTGCCACGATCTGAGAGAGCTAGAATCGTGTGTTTCGGAACTATAACGTCCAGGCGGATCGCAAGCAGAAACAGGAGGAATAGGAGCAGTCTCAGATCGATTCGAGCCGAACCAGGACAATCGTGGACGAGGAACAATGTCCAATGGAAGTGCGGGGGAACTCCAACGTCGACGGAAATGTGAAAAACCACTGCTACTACCATTTGCAACAACTTGGTCCTGTGAAGATGGAGGACAAACTTCGTCGTAGATATTCATCGAATCGGATGACAATGGTTCCAATTTATAATGATCCGGACTGATTGCTGGAAAGTGATCTGAACGGCTACTTGGTTGGACTTTGGGCTCGGTGGCAATGCCGTCATGTGTGAAACGCTTTGATTTGTCTGGAGAATCCACGTCGTCGGGAATGTCGTACTCGAAACAGGTAGGTGGCGACACTGGATAAGAATTCGCGGAAAGAAAGGAGAAGAAAATTGGTTTGAAGGACGAAAGATTCCAGCAGAGAGGAAAAGCCATTTTTCAAGAACATTCAAAAATATGACTGCGTATCTTTGCTAGCGACTATTGAAATTTACTCTAGAACAGCCGTCGAGTGTCATAGGAAAACCGATCGAACAACCGTCTGTCTTCATACAGTGCTGAAAACGCAACCAAACAATCACACCACGTGACTAACCTCCATTGAAACCTTCGAACTACAAGCTGCACACTTTGAATCTCGAAAGCCTTTGCCGTATAGATAGCCTAGTGACCATCCACCGCACCATTAGAAGCGTAGCAACCAAAGGACGAACGGGTATATTTCAAAGCTTCTGATTTTGAAATTCCACGGAACGAATCTCGCCAAGGACACCAGCGGACGAAGGACAATAACTCAGTTGATATTGAGGCTTACGGAGTACATTGGAGGTACCTATTCTGTACCCACGTTTGGTACCATCCAGTAGAAATGAATCGCTTATGGCTTACAGAATTCCAGTCCCGCCTTCATCCTAACTGTCTCGTAGATTAGACGAGTTCAGAACGAAATCTTCAAGCCCACTTAACGTACAAAGGCCGAGCAGGGCAACCAATCTCAATACAGCCAAAAATGAGCATAGGCTTCCCCCTATGCAAGCATTTTGTGACGTATTGGCCAAAGTGGTTGGGGTTAGGCGGTTTGACCTGACAACAATAGTGTGCTTAGGGTCCTATGACCCGATGTTCAAACCCAAACAAACGTTGATAGTGTTGACAGCACCTCCAACCTAGTGATGTGATTCGCTAATCCACGCCTCAGGGTTACGAATGCCAATGACCGTGAGTGAACAGTTGATCCTCATACCTCTGGGGTTAACACCCACCTTGTAATTACTAATCCCCAAGGGAGAGCACACTAAGGTGGGTATTGCCAAAGCCTTACTGAAAAAAACTGTTGCCACATCGCAAAAGAGATTAGTGGTGGACAAGGGAAGCAGGTCATATCGATTTCCATGCTGTTTGGCACAACAAGGGCCCATTCGGATCTCAACAACGATGACAAAACCAAGGGCTGAGAAAATGATATATCGCATGGACAATAAGATGGGAGAGTTTTTCCGAACTTAATATTTGATCTCTGAACACCGGAGGAGGTTTGCAGTGTTCTAAACGCAAATTATGGTGCAGGAGCCTTGGGGGAATGAAAACGAAAACAGAATAGCTGGGATGGTGCAGAACGGAAACGAAGCGAACCATCGGTTTGACAATGTGTTCTCACTGTATGCGAGTTACCACGGCAACCATTTAGGACAAACAGATGTGACGCAGAACTGGTCCATGGTAAACAACAACAACAACAACAATAATAATAATAAGATATCAATAGTTTTTAGAAGTATGAATGACAAAGTGACAAAACAGACTCTAGTCACCTGATTCCATCACGCTTGTGCTAGGAGGGCGGGGGAGATTTGTGTCATTGGGATAGCTCGCACTGTTGCTTCCGTCTCCGGTCGAGGAAGGGATTATCCCCAGTGCTTGAATGAAACCACGTATCCATGCCCCCATGCGCAGTTTGTCGGGCACATCGAAAAGGAGCGGAGTGGCTGATTGTTTGGGCACAGCCAAACGGACTGCGGCTTTGTGCCGTTTGTCCCCGGCCAGGCCAAGTTCCACTTGACCGGGTTCGAGGCTTAACGAGAACAGGGGCCACGCATTTGTCCCCGTAGACAGGGTCAAATCATCCGTGACAATGGACCCCGAGCACGGCTGACTAGCTAATGGATAGACATCCAGGCAATGAGACCGAAGACAACACCATCGATTGGTCCATGGCACTTTGCCGGGAATTGAAATACAAGCCTCGCCTAGAACGTAATGGATACAGTGCAATCAATCATGAGGATAACAGAGAGAAAATAGGTAACATTGTCACTTGCACAATGCATATCATAGCAAACATGGCTGAAAATGATGACCAAATTTAACTTGAAAAACAACTTGGGAACGTCATAATGTCAATGACAGCGATGTTGGTAAAGGATTGTATTCACCGATGTTCCGGTTACCGTCGGTAACCTTTCTCAAGGAAGGTTTTGCAACCAAATAACTAAGAGGAAAGGATCCGAAGTTAACCGAAGGTTAACATACGACGAGACATCTGTTAACTTGTGATCCTTTCCTCTGAGTCATTGGATTGTAAAACCTGCCTTGAGAAAGGTTACCCAGGGTAACCGAAACATCGGTCAATACAATCCTTTACCGGCATCGCTGTGTTATTATCAATACAACATTCACAAGAAAACACAACACAGGGCGCATCGATTATTCGATGCACTCCTAAAATTGTTTGGTTCTGATATATTAAAAAAAAATTGATCAAAAGAAAGCCGTCATCCATTTCAGTGAACGCATGCATCCATTCAGTATGGTGATGGAAATAAGCGTAAGACAGAACAAACCAAATAACATAATGCTTTGCCTCTCATCAGACCTGAGACCTACGGTGATAGCCTCTATGCGTTCGGTGTCACCATATGCCACACTATAAGTTCAACGGGTTATCAAAGAAGAAAAAAAAAGAAAAGATTATAGCTATCAGAGAGTAGTTAGTTGAACGAAAGTTTAAAAGATGCATGTGTTAAAATCCCATCTGGGTGACAATTAATCTGAAAACTATCAACGGCTTCATAACTTGTGGGTTGTGTAACAACCATTGGGTAGGCAATCGAACAGAAAGTAAACGGAATCGAAACATGCTTGAGAATTTGTGGAACTCAGTTGTGAGGGGGAACAGATGACAACTTTTGTCCAACTATTCGAACCCCGCACTCCGAAACACAGACACGCCTAAAACGGAGTCTGCTATAACATGAAAGAAATTGAGGAGATAATATGGACTGTATATAGTGGTGTATAAGCATTACTGCTTTCTTGTTTCTCGACTATGCTATCTATTGTATGTGGAGGTCATCAGTTATAGCGGACGGTTTTGAACCCGAGCAAGTTGAAAAAAACACCATTTGGGCAGAGCAACTTGTTTTTAGTAATCTACAATAATACCACTACAACTAAGAATTGAAAATGAAACCTTGGGGCAGGATCAGTTAGAGGGTGATATCGGCTTGTGTGACATTGTTGTGGCTGTAAGTATGCGTGTCTGTGTGCGCAGATCACGTTACGTTACGCCGCCAAGTGCACGTCCAAGTAGGTCTCTGGAATGACTTTTAAGCACGACCGCGGCATAGATCTATGATATGGAGATTTTTGGAACAAATTCAGCTGATCAGAAAACCACAATATGGTTATAAACAAAAAAGGCCCAAACTGAGAACGGCAGCACGCACACTCTGCAGTCTTGGGTTTGATGCCTGACTAGAATCATTTTTCAGTTGTACAAAACGGTTGCGGATATTTGTGAGCTACAGAGAGAGAGAGAGCTGGTAAGATTGTGAAGAGATTGAATATGATCCACAAAGACATTCTACTCGGTCAAAGTGCACACACGTTAAACGGGAACAAAACCTGATCGATCGCTTTATTGATCACAATAGTCTGATGTCATTTGAAAACTAAACTAAAACTGGATCACTACAATACCTGAGATAGTTGACATACACACATCCCGTCTGATAAACGGATCTAAAAGCATCTAGCTAAAGGAAAGATGAACTATCCATATTTTATATGTTAACATCGATCTCAGCGAGGTAAGGTATTTCGTTTACTCTGCCATGGTATCGTATGATGATTATAAATAGAATTTAATGAAAAGCCGTTGCAGCGTATCAAATATCGCCGTGAGACCGGGTTACCATGTTTGTTTAACCAAACAGAAACCAACAAACTGGAGACACCGTCACTCTAAAACATAAACGTTTAGTAGCGCACGAGATACGTTCCCAATTCCGAACAATTGAACCAATACGATCATCCTTTTGAGGATACCGAGAAGTGTACTGATGGTCTGAAACGGATGGCGCAAATGCGGCGTACGTGACTAAGCAACGAGACCAGACGTGTTGACTGATGATATGAGCCCGACAACAACAACAAACTCAGCGAAAACCGATTTAGATAGCAACGCGGGCGTTGTGTGTATAGGAGTGTATGTTCACTGCCCGTAGGGCTCGGGATAAAAGCATCAGGTTGTGGAGCTATTGTACTGAAAAATAGTGGAACAAATTTGTAGGATTCGCAATCAGTTCACGCAATGGCAAAACATTGCACAATTAGATGGGAGCAGTCGAAAACTAAATAAACTAAGATAGAGAAGTTAGGATTTTTGTTAATCTGCGACAGACTGATAAAAATATCTAACACTTATAATACAGTGACACACTTCCTGGATGAAAGAGTTATCCAGTGACACTGCAGATCTTCTTCCCACAATTATCGGGACTTAATAAACCTCGGGGAATACGACCAATAGGAAAACAATCGACATAATCATCACATTATTATTATTATTATTCTACATAATTTAAAATAACAGCAATAACCTACAGTTAAATACAGTGAAGCTGATTGTTGCCAAACTCGCAATGAATAGAAAGTTTGTGATAATATCTAAGGCGGTCACGGATTGTACCTATTTGAAGGAAGGGAGAACAAGGTGAAATTCTACGATCAAAACAGTGTACTTGATCGAACTGTGCATGCGAAATGTTTCAAGCATGCTGACCTAACAAGAACGCCACGGCTCCGTAGTAGATGAAGTAATTTGGTTAGCGACATGGCCAGCTAAATCGTTCACCCGGCGATCAAGTCATTCATCCCTTTGTGAATAGCATGTCCCTTTTTAGCAAAGACTGGTTCACTACCTGGAGTTCGTCGACGTCCCGTATTTCATATCAATGGGAACAGTTTTTGACTATTCCCCGACGCAGCTGCTACATACATTTTACCAGCATTTGTTGACCACCAGTTCTCGCGAACCTTCTTGAGGCTCTTCATGAGCAAAGGTTGCTGGAGCCACCTAACCCTGTTTCGATCCTGGCAGGCAGGTATTCGTGGATTTTTCTCCATCATGGCTAATGAATCATGAGGTATCCAATGCCTCCGACGAACTTGAGACTCAGACCCAAAAGCAACATGCCTTGCGGATTGCATCGCTCGCTTAATCTGATATTACTCCTTATGTACAGTATCACGTTGAAGCGCGCTTAGCTCACGCGCTAGCTCTGACTCATAACGAGAACGCACAACTAGGACAGATAGACAATAATGAGCTNAATGAGCTATCCGACTTTGCTGGTTTTGTCGCTGACCAGTGAATCGGAGTGAACTAGATTAAAAAACCAGTGCGTCTTCCGACTCAACGCAGGCGATTCCATGAAGACCTGCAATTATGTACTGAACTATGCCAACGGTACCTTACATCTATGCAGTCAATTTGGGCAAAACTTTCGGTGGAAATGGAACACCCATTGTGGCCGTTCGACCAGAGTTGTGTCGAAAGTCAACGGTAGGTAAGGACAACCGATGATCCAACGAGGACTGAAGTAGTCGATCACTGTGGTGGTGGTAGTGGGCGGGAAAAGCAGNAAAAGCAGAGCGGAAAAAACGGGGGAAATGAGGAGAGAACGGACACCGGTTCCGTTTATACAAACACTGTCATGCACTTTCGAGCGGTGGTTTTGGTGGCTGTCCTTGGGCTGAGATGCCCATATGGATGGAAGAGTAGAGAGAAGATTGGAATGTCTGAACAATGTGAAGATAGAGGATTGCAGGTAGACAAAGGTTGTAAAGTTAGGGATTAGATACACGAGCGTCACTGTTTACGGCTCTCGGGCATATAAGCGCGACCACATAAGTCACGGTCGCCCAACTGCAATGAACATGAGAAGTGAGGGATAGTGTGTTCCGTAGAACCCACTACTGGATAACTGGAGTGGTCCGAAAAGAGATGCTGTGCCATTTAACCGAGTCACGTAAACGGGAGTGTAACCGAAACCCCAGGTACAGAAACGAGGTCAACGGGTCTATCAAGGAGCACACAAACAGATATGCAACCAGCTGTGGTGTCTTCCATACCCACCCCCGAAGCACACAAACCATGTGCATCACCGAACCGAATCCGATTGTGGTGCAAATAAACAAGTATAAATCAGCTAACGCAAGTATGAGAGACAAGGTGGGAGAGTAAAACAAAGGCAGCACGAAACTAAGTAGAGTATGAAGAATCAAGTCACGTAGGAGGACGGTAATAAGGGCCACTATTCGCGTGTGAAAAACAGTTAGCCCGCAACCTTTCGCTCGGTGGTGCATAGGTAAAAACGAAAAATGATATGTTTATTTGTCGACGGGAAATAACGCAAGCAAAACCTGCGACATATAAGACAAAACACCGGCGGGGGTTCGCAACCGAGAAATCGATAGGATCAAAATGTGGCTGATCACTCACCTGCAATGATGACCTGATTCCGAGATTCTGCATCCAAATGAGTCTGGTCGAACAGGGTCTTGCAAGAAGGCACATTTAGATCAAGTAAAGGACCGAGTCGGGGTGCATTCATGTTAAGTAGGGATTCCTGTACCGGTTGAATGTAGCCGTAATCGGGCAACGATGGACTGGTCAGTACAAACGAATGCGGGCGTCGCAGTCCACCACCACCAGTGGAGTTTGGGGCATTGAGAAACAGAGAACAGGCCGATTCTAACTGAGCCCAATCGAAACCGGGACCGACGCGAGCAGGTGAACTCAGCATACATGCGGCTGGCGGGGGTGGGGGTGCAGGCACAGA